CACAACACAGAAACACAGGGCTTAAATACACAGAGGGAGCAATCAGGGAATGAGTAACAGGAGGGAAACACAGCTGGAGCAAATCAGGCCTAACGAGACAAGGGAAGCAAAACCAGGCACACTTATATGAGACAGACTTTCAAAGTAAAACAGGAAACATAACACAGAGACGCGAACTTGACAAGGGGATACAGCTGACAGGGGAGACAGAGCAACTAGAGAAGACAGAGACATAAACCATAAGACAGAACTCAAAGAAACCAAAGACTAGAAATGATAAATATAATAAAGTCAAAAACCCTGGGCCAACGACCCAGGCATCCTAACAAGAGGTTGGTGCAAAGAGTGATGAGCAGCTAATATGTTCTTGATATTATGGGTCTCATTAACACAGAAAGGTTTCACACTCTTTATTTGACTGAACAGTTGGAGCAGGACGTGCAGACGTGACAATGTTTCTGATTGTGTCACATAAAACTTCTGAATTCTCTTGCTGTTTGGATAAAATACGTGGCCTTCACATTTGTGATATTATTAGAAGAATGTAAGAGCTCTTTATATCACAAAGATGCAAGTTTATTCTTTGATTGTTTTTTCTGTTGGGGACAAAACATTTTTACAACAATTTGTTGTTCTATAAGGATCGTGGTCCTTGATGGACCTACACTGACCTCATGTCAGATTTGTAGATAGATTTAGCCCATGTTTCTATTTTCAAACCCTTTAAGCTGAGAGAACATTTTATTTGCAGCTTGTTTTAAGTGTGATAGAGACTCAGTCCTGGGGGGAATACCCTTTATATGTGCAGGTCTACAGAACTAAAACTGCTGAGTGGAACTGCATGCATTGCACAGAAACGTGCACAGTTCCTGTTACTGTAGAGAATCCCATATTTGCTTTATTAGACTGTAGGACAGAAACCCCAGAGGAAACCGTGGGTTAGCTGACCAAGGTAATAACAAGCTTTGTGTGGCTGTTTGTCCCGATCACCAGTGTTGGGTAAGTGAACTTAGATAACGAACAGAAACCCTGAGTATGCCAGACTCACTTCACTGCATAGGGCCCAGTTACACTGCTGTGTAAATGAAACACTTTAATGATTGGTTATGTGTCAGTACTGTTAGAACAGCTGACACATACCTTCTCTAAAGACCAGGTTTTTATGGCTTTTAACCCCAAAACATGCTACGCCAAAAAGCAGTCCACCCACAGTCCCCCGGAACAGATTAGTAATACACTATTATACACCAGTAAGTGCCAGGATGATTGTCCTGTTTTATACATTAAGGAAATCAAACAACCTCTGGCCAAGCACATGGCTTAAGGCAGAAGAGCTACCTCATTATCACCATCATTGATTATTATGTCTAAAGCTGGGTTACATCTTAAACTAATTGAGCTAATTTAAGTTAGAATTTAACTTCTATATAAAAAGAACTTTACAGGTACTTTAAAATGACTAAACCACAAAAACAACACATGCTATTGTAAAGTAAGTGCAGCTTTGATTTAATATTACACTGCGTTCACATGCTTATTTTTTGCATAGACATTTAGATATGATGATTTGTTTTTTGTATGTACATTTATTCACTGACTGTTTTCATTTATTGTTACTGATCTCTTTGGCAGTTCATCCATTCCTATATGCATTTGTACTTGACACATCAAAGTAAAAATAGATAAATAATAATAATGATAATTTACTATTATTATTATTATTATTATTGCTATTATTATTATTATTATTATTGCTATTATTATTATTATTATTATTATTATT